TCATTTTTAAAGAATCACTCTTGCTTAGTGTAAACCTGGTTTCCAAGTGACTCTGGAGTTTGCTTTAAAGCCGTATTCAGACATGACCTTCGGGTAAAATCTGGAGAATTGACTACAGAGTTTACCCAGATCTTTCACACGTGCACAATGCAGTTGGAGGTTCTCTGCACAGACCCGTTCACACCAGCATCAAGTCCTCTGCATTAATCAGGCAAGAGGTGGAGCAGCTGGGTGCAGCAGAAAGAGGCCGGAAGTGTCGTAATTCTGCTGCGTAGATCAAGTGATCATGTTTAAAGCACACCGACGCCGTTATCTGCTCCTATCTCCACAAACTCTCTAGACACCATCATCGGTGTCTTCTATGTGTATGTCATCGTCTTTTCACCTGGAGATGTTTGTCTTCTTTTTTTTCATCCTTGCGTCTGTCACATGTTTGAAGCATCATCAACTTTTTTTGCAAAGCAAAGCAGGTGCTAACTTTCATTACCAATTCCACCGACAAATAGGCAATCTGCTTCCTACTTACAATAGCATGTACATAATATCCTTCAAATACACAAGATTAGTTCCCTTCCAGAAATATTTGTTCTTTTTGAAAGAATAAAAAGTCATATTAATCCCCCAGGAGCCAACACATTTGTGATACAGGCGTTTAGACATTCTGGGTGCCTGGAATTCTGACATGGCATATTGGTAATGCACCCTTAACAATAGGAGCATAAAATATTTCTTCTTCAGGCTCCAATCAGAAAGATCAAAGGCCAAATCTGTAAATGCATATTTCTGGAAAAAGCAGCAGCATGCCAGAATAGAGAACCCTTTCTTTTGATGTTCAAGCGACTCGGGAAAGAAAATATTATCGAGAGTGGTGCAGTGGAAGGCAAGCAAGTAACCACAACCTCACATGAGTTAAAGATGCCGTCAACCACCAGGATCTCCTAAACCCCAAAATAAAGCCCTACAGTCCCCGAGGGAAACAGCAGGACTGGGGCCCGCCATTTTGTTCCATTTTGCTTTGAGGATAGAAGAGGGGGCAAAGGACTAGGCTGAATTTCAAAGGGCTTCAGATGCCATTTGAGTATCCACTGAGATTGTGCCGGTAGAACAGCAGCTATTAAAGATTTAGACAACTTGAACAGAGAGAAAGAGAGGGGAGTAAGAGAGAAACCACGACAGAGAGAGAGAAAACAAGACAGAGACAGAGAGGCAAGAAACAGGAGTAGCCATGCTTGTTTACCTAAAAGGACCACACTCTCAGCACAGGAGGGGGAGGGGAGAGCTTGCATACACAGTGGGCAGGAAGAGTGAGTGCTGAAGTTGCAGCAAAAAGCTTCTCCCCCTTCTTACAACCAGCACGAGCCATTGTATTCTTCGATTTGATCCTAAAGAAGGTTCCTTAGCATTATTCAAGGAAGAAATTGCAAAATGAATCGTGTACAGTGTCAGCCACCTACGCATTTTATCATTATATAATAGATCTTATAAAGAGAGCATGGGTTGAGGAAAAGTTACGCCCATTCTTTTCTTGGAAAGACAACTGATACATAAACAAAACTACAAAGTTTAGTGTAATGGCACAGATTCTGCCCACAATAAGAAACACTAACAAGACAAACAGCATTTAAGCGACTACTTCAAACACAACTTTTTTCCCCATCAACAACTAACTATTCACTTGATCGAAAAAGCAACAATATTCATGTGTATTCTTACACTCACCAGAAATCAGCAGTCTGGCATTTCATTTATTAAATTACTTCAATGACCAATTATCAAAACTAAGATTAACTTTCTTTTGACTGAATAATGATTGCAGAAATAGACAAAACCATCTCCTCAGTTATCGTAGTAAAATATACATTAGGGCTCTAACGATACGCCGAATCCACGGTTCAGTTCGGACCTCGGTTATTTAGCTCCAGTTCTGCTTATACCATGTTTTTTTTAGGCAGGGTGTAGTGGGTGCGTAAGAGAAAGTCATTTGGAACAGTAAAGAGAAAAACACTAAAGAACACGTTGGACCAGATTTCACGTGAAACTAACCAAAGAATAGGAAAGAGGTATGGGGGCATCTCCCACAGTCTCAAAGTCCAGAATTCAATCCATAAATATACAGTCAGTTTCAGTCTCCCCCACAGACCCAACAAAGTTTGGTTCAAACTACGAAAAACAGATACAACAAATATAATCTGTTACAGGTTTTACCGCAAATCTTCACAAACCAACAACTCAGAAAAGTAAACAGAAAGAGAAGCGTCCGTGTTGCTACAAGAACAACAGCGTTCCTATATACAATATGTACAGGGCACTCACAATCGAGCATAAGCTGGCCAGCAACTCTAGGGAACCTCCATAAGGCATGGAGTCCACCTGACTCCGACACTTGATTTCCTCATGACTCCAAGATGAGGCATCGGCTTCCGAGTGGGGACAACACGCAAACTTTAAAACACACACTTTTGTAAAGGTATAACAGACGATCCTCTCCAACCTCCACACTCATAGCTCCAAAGCTACTGGTCAATTCTGTGTTGGTTCAGATTACGCAGGATTGGCGTCCCGTGGTTGTGATTAGATTGGAGTGTGAGACATAGCCACACACGCAACAGGCTGCAGCTGTCGCATGGGGTTGGGCAGGGAGACGTGTTGCAGTTCCGTCTTCTCGTATCGCAAACCGAAACCGTTGACATCTGGATCATGGTTTTGATTTGAGAATTGTTACAGCCCCTATATATAAATATATGATAACAATACTGATTATGGAAAATATTTGGTGACAAGTATCCTCTGCTTCATCCTGTACAACCGTTACTGTTGTGTTGTCCAAATACAGCAATCTAAAGCATCCTGTTCTTTTCAAACTAATTGTATTTTTGCCATGATGCATTCACTCAGTTTTGTTTGCCTTAAACTCAAGCTAATAAAAATACATGGTATGATCAGGATGTCAAATAATCAAAGAGGCAACAACAATAGAGGAGCAGAAAGTTAGAAATGCTACCTGTTTTGATACGACACAAAATGTTTATCCTGGAGCTACAATCACAGCTCGTGACCTTTCTGATGCCAACAAATCTCCATTTCCTGCTGCAGACAGAAGATATGCTTTATTTATATGGTACCACTTATAGCAGCAGGGGCAAAATCGTACCTCACTAACAGGAACCAGGTGAGACATGCAGTTAAGGAGCGTCAATTGACATGGCAATTAGCCGTACCAAAAATGCCCAGCGCTTACAGTAAGCATTAGATATTGATTCTACCGAATTCAGGGGTCCTCAATATTGCCTACAATTGACTACTTGTGAGTTTACTACAATATCATAAATAACACTTACATTTACCCTAGTAAATAGTTTCATAAGGAAACAGATCAATAAAAGGCATACAAAAGACCCCTATGTTGCAGACCTGTAAAAATGTGTATGAAATGTGACAGGATGTCAAAGACTATATAATGACATTGCCCAAATGGGCCAGAAACACAGCAACATCACTACATGTGCTGAAGGAAAACTTAAATTCAAATGAGATTTCAATTAGTATTGGGGTTGTCATACTTTAACGATGTAAACACATCAGTGATGAATTGTAATGCGCAAGAGATAATATAATGTCGGTGAAGAATTATGCAATGAAGCCTTGATTATATTTACATCCCAAACATCATAATCTTCATATAACCGAGAAGAGTATTTGATACCATTTGAACATCGTATAGGTTTAATATGGCACAGAAATATAGGACCTACGCAAGCTCAAGAGATATGCATCATTGCCTCTGCAGTGTAGTCAACATGAACGCCCCAACAAACTAAAACACTCTCAGTATCTTGGTGGAAAACACCACCAGCGGCACTGCAGTGTTTTCCTCAGCATTGGTACTGCACCAAAGTAGAGAGGTTCTTATCCACACTCAGTTTCCTTCTGCAACTTGTCTCTCAAATCCAACCATGCTGTGCCTCCTTTACATGTTATTTACCACAGAAAGCACAGGCACTCCACTCAACCAACTTAGGTAATCACGGTGACACTTATCCATTCATACAGCCCACAGTTAGTCTACTATTTACTGATAACTCCAGATCGCCTGTGGGCATTTAAAGCACTGTTCTTTAAATAGTACTACAAAGCACGTATATATTTGGTGCTGTGTAGTTCTGACAATCTAGTCCTTGCACACAGGCTCGTGACACATCAATTTTGCTTTAGGGCACGAACACACCAGCAAATGGGCAAAACATGATGTGCTTCATTGAGAGCAGTTTATGACGCCATGCACACATCATTGGATAAGCTGATGAACGAGTATTGACTAGGGTCACCTGCAAACTAACCATTGCCAATGTAACAATCAAAAACAGGTCAACATTTGGACGTTGCCAGTTCTCTTCCTTGAAAATGCAATGATTATTGGAGCGTGTGATATTGATGGAGCTGATCACGAGAGTGTGCACAAAACCAAACATTACATTAAACTTATTGTAAATAGTTATTAGTAAATTCCTCATCGCTTCAAAGACAAGACTCCCAATACACAAGGTACGTATACATGTATGCATGGTATGGAGGCATGCAGCACTGGAATCTCACTCAAAACATTTGAATTTAGTTTGAACACAACTCGCTGTTCGTGCAAGACCCATCACACGAGAGCAACGATTCATGACAGCTACACTGCATTTACCAAAAGCAGTGTCAGGAGGTGTAATACACGTAATAACCTACATTTCTGGTCGGATCACCATCAATTCAACAAGCAGCTAAGCAGAAGCATTTGGGGGGTTGTGTTATATAAACAGAGCAGCGTGGCAAAAACCAATGAAAACCAGTTAACCTACTGATGAAGCAAACGCTTGAAAATCCTGAGTAAAATGAAGATATTGCAAGTTGACCTTTGATGCAACACACAACCACCCGAGTTACCCACGGGGCTGGCAATAGTCAGTTTGTTGTTGTTAACGCGTTAGCTGTGCAGGGCAAAGTAGAATGTGACTTACCTTGGGTTCAATTCCCACAAATACAAAGAGAAAAATGACTCTTAATGGTTAGTCTATGCCGCGATGGTTTCGGCCGATGCTGGATGGTCCCATTTGTTGTCGTCGGTTCAGTAAAGAGTGGTCAGGACACATCCGCATAAACCCGCGACGACCATCGCAGCTCCGCGGTGTCGATGCTAGTAGCGCTAGCTTGTTAAAACAGTGCGAACAGGCGTCCAGCGGGGGAAAAAACACTAAAATATCCACGAAAACTCGTTTACAGCGCAGTTATTTCGTCTCCACCACCAACTCGGAACCTTTAACAGTCCATTTGCACGATGCCGGGCTTGCTGTGGTGGTCGTAAACCATCAGAAGATCATATTTTTGTCGGTTTAATCCTCTCCGTCAACACATTCGAGCTCTTTTCGAACGGCCTTTGACTTCGCTGTGTGGACGTGCGGGGCGGAAATGCTCCGAGATAAAAACGAGCGCTCTGATTGGCTCCGCCGCTGTGGGCGGATACTGTCTCGGCGTTCTGTGAAAGTGACGCCATTTTGGATCCGCGCAGCGTCCCGTTCTCCATTCACAACGAACGCGAGCGAGGCCCCAACGTGGCTGACCGACGCGCACAGTTTCAAACGCAATAGACCACACTCCATTATATAGTTGGAGACCGAGAAAAGGAAATGGAGTACGAGCGTCGGATGCGCTCGTTTTTCACACCCGTACAAACCGTGAAGCGTATTGACAAAGTGTAATTTGTTTATTTGGAGTTTTTGTTGATACATATAGATTTTTCACATCTTAATTAAACTTTGATGTACCCTGCAAAGGTTCACCTAATATCTATAAACGCACATAGAGTTTCTAAGTAAGACATTTTACGAATGAATGTGTTACCTCCCGTTAATGACCACTTCACTTCTCATAAACGTATAATCACACGGGCTGGTGCACACCATATATTTGGACTCTCGTTACTCTGTATATATTGTGTTCAATGGAGAGAATCAGACCTCAAATAAAGGTGACATACTGTATGTCAGGGTGACACCGCGTTCGCAAGATATCGGAGCTTATCGGTAGGAACAACGAACGCACCCAAAGTCGAGCTGAAACGCGTAGGGAATAAAACGAAAGCTCCCATTGGCTCACAGAAACCTCCCGGACGCTCATTCGTTGACTTCACATGTCACTCAAAGTGACCCGGACACGTCGCTAAACACTACGGTGTTTTCTTCGTTATTTACAGCAGCGACGGGGACACGAGGATCAACACGTTGATGCTGTTCGCACATTAGTTTATAAAGATTCTGCTCGTACAGTTCAATGATTTGTGCTCATCTGAAGTTTGAACTAAAAAGTAATTAATGAAACGATCTGCTCCGGTGATTATTGGTAATAATCAGCGACACACTGTTTGTGACACGAAGCTCCACCATGCTCCAGTGTAAAACGTGTCTGAGGTTTTTACCAGTGGAATATTCACACGTACCAACTGGATCGAGTCAATCCACAGCTGTGGTTCATGAAGTTAACCGACAGTGCTCTCTGCTGGTCCACTGTTCAAACATTATGTCAACAAACTTATTTATAATATACTCTTCGTATTTTATTCTAGGGTGTAGATACCACGTTCAAGTGCAGATAGTGGTTGAACCCAGAATAATTTCAGTACTAGTACTAGATAAAAGGCTGAATTAATAGTTTTATGCTTTTTTAAATTCTTGGTACCATAAAATTTAGGAAGAGACAAACTGTTTTGCTTAAACTGGCCTAATATCACATGAATAAATACACATTTGTAAACCAAATCTTCAGTATTTATATTGTAATGCACTTTTTTATAAAGTTGGCAAAACATGCACCCATTCATGGCACTCAAGAAGATATATATTACAGTATATAATACACAAATACATATATATAATCCACAAAAAAAGAAAAAAACTAAACAAGAAAGGAGATGAACACACCTGGTCAAATTGTAATTAAAGTGCATATATTTTGCAAACTCTAAACTATTCTAATTCAAATCTGACACGAAAACATCACTTGTTTTTAGGACACAATATATGTGGACGATTTGCTTTAATACATATATATATATATATAACAACCGCCTATATTCACATTGTTTATACAGTGTTTAAAATATATTATTTGTATCTAAATATAATTTCAACCCTAGATCGTAAAGACTTAAAATTGGTACATTAAAAAAACTGTATAAATGAGAGGGGACAAAATGCAAATATCGACTTTTGATTTTAAAATACATTTCTAATGGATAAAGTTTGTATATTTTGATATCTTTGTGTGTTGGGAATGAAAATGACAGAAGACCAACCTCCGCAGTTGGGATTATATCATTTCCTGTCAAGCGCGTATCTACTACGCATGCGCTCGTAGAGGTTGAAGGTCCGCCATCTTGTCTGCAGCCAGGTCCCTCCCCCTCCAGCTGACATCTTGGTTCCGCTGCACAGTTGAATAACATAGCAATCAAGCTAGCTAGCTAGCTAGCGCTGCACGGAGCTAGAGGTAAACAGCAGTACTGTTTGCTTAATGCGACATTAATAACTATGTCATAACACTGGTTCAGTTAACACAGCGAGCACCGGCGTCATGTCAGCGCTGTTGTTACAGCACCGTGTAGGTCTGTGTAGAAAACACAGCTCACGTTCACTGTGGTTGCTATCGAGGCGAGGCGCTCATGTTCTGGCCAACAGGACGATCTTCAGCGCTAGTGTTAAAAATGTGCTGTTCAGAAACATGCTGCTTTCACAGTCAGAGCGGACACTGACGAGTCAGCCCCAGAAAGTGATCCAGGTGAGCCCAACACATCACGGATCCACCAAACAGGACGAGTCAACGTGTGGTTTGTTATTAACTGTCACAGACTGTGAGTGACATGTAGAAAACTGATCTATTCAAACGCATTCATGTTTTTATATATTGCTTATGCATTGTGCATGCATGGTGAGGCAGCATGATGCATCATTGATTTCATAGATCTGTAAAATGTTTTGCTGTTTAGCTCATGTTTGTCATTTACAAACTTTACTCAGGAATATCTTGTGCACACTGTTGTGTTGGTTTATAACTTGAGCTTTCATAACCGCTTGATAGCATGCTATATAAATATATCTAGCTGGAAAAGAGCTTTAAAACAATATGAGAACCACGTGATCTATATTAAAGAAGATTGTCAATGTGACAGATTTCCCCAAAAATGATCAAACTTCGTTAGCACTTATCTTCAGTTCCACTGGTTTTTCATGATCAAATCAGCGTGTCAGATCAAATCTGTGATGGATCAACCTTTAATTGTGATGATTTAACACTGAATGACCCTAATATTTATTACTCCTATTTCAGAGTCTTCTCCACAGACCACTGAGTCCTGGCCTGTTGGGAATTAGCAAAGATTTAATCAGGCGCAACCTACTGAGGAACCCTGTTGGTTTGATAAATCTTTTAGGTAAACAATCAGTTTTGTTAACCTTAGTTTGAATGTGATTATGTTAGTTGTTTTTTACTGACTCATGATTAAAAACACTCTGATCTCAGGGTCAACAAACTTCTTCAGCAAGTCTCAATCCAAACAAGAGAAAAATAAAAGCGATGGACAGAAGGGAAAAACTCCAGAGGAAGATGAAGGTATGTGATGAATTGCTTTGGCAGATGGACGTTCAATAACTTTGCAACATCCGGCTGTGATCTTAATGTTTTTCTCTGATATTATTTGTTTTCTTCCTCCCCACCTATATCAGAGGAGAAGAAACGGCGTGAGCAAGCAGACCAAATGTACAGAGAGCGCCTGAGAACGCTGTTCATCATAGCGCTCATCATGAGTCTGCTGAACTCTATTAACACCAGTGGTGGTAACATCTCCTGGAATGACTTTGTCAATGAGATGTTGGCCAAGGGGGAGGTGTCACGTGTGCAAGTTGTTCCTGAGAGTGACATCGTAGAAATCTACCTACATCCTGGCGCAGTCATCTTTGGGAGGCCTGTATGTTGTGCAGGATTAATGCTAACATGCAATTAGCACCAGAGCTTTTACAGCACATTGGCACGCTAACCCCTCATATCCTGATATTTTTCTCGCTCTGCAGAGGTTGGCGCTCATGTACAGAATGCAGGTCGCCAACATAGACAAATTTGAGGAGAAGCTGAGAGCTGCTGAAGAGGAGCTGAATATTGACACCAAAGACAGGATACCGGTGTCATACAAACGTACTGGATTCTTCGGAAAGTAAGAAGATGAACTTTCTCACTGTACTTAAAATCAAAAAACTGTTTCCTGCAGTTTGAAGGAATGCTGTCTCCGAATAGTGTCAAAGGGAATGTCAATCACAAAAACCTTATCAATTAACTTGTTATTAAGTTGAATTCTTCCTTTTCTACTCAGTGGTAATTCCATAAAGAGCCAGTCAAGACCCAATCATTACGTATTGTTACCATAGTCTCTGTAGAGTTTCTTTATTTTTATGATCTGGCTATGTTTGTGACTTGTAATGTTGGCAGTCAACTCCAGCTGTATTTTTTATGTCTTCTCTGATACTAAGCTCCGATACGATGCCTTTTCATCTCTTCTCTTCACAGTGCAGTCTATGCTCTGGGGATGGCAGCTATTGGCGTGGCCATTCTCTGGTACATCTTTCGACTTGCTGGCATGGGTGGCAGGGAAGGTGGCTTCAGTGCTTTTGTGAGTTTACACAGCATTAGCAAATCTACTTGTGATCATTAACATTTAGGGTTTTTGTTATGTTCCACTGCTTGATCTTGCGTATTACAACACACTTTACAGAATCAGCTGAAGATGGCCAAGTTCACCATTGTGGATGGCAAGTCTGGTAAAGGTGTGAGTTTCAGAGATGTTGCAGGGATGCACGAGGCAAAAACAGAAGTGAAGGAATTTGTTGACTACCTCAAGGTAAGAAACCAGACTCAAATAATGTCTGTCACTCTTGTATGATATATTAGCCCCTGAATATTCAATTCCATTAAGTAAGCTAAAGATGGAAGGAGTCCCCCTTAGCTACAGGATGTCAATGCAAACTTTGAACACTTAAGATTGCAGTGCAATGCTCACCACAGTGATTTCATCTGTTGTTAGAATCCAGAACGATACATCCAGCTGGGAGCCAAGGTTCCCAAGGGTGCGTTGCTGCTTGGTCCTCCAGGCTGTGGGAAAACGCTGCTGGCCAAGGCTGTAGCCACTGAGGCCCAGGTGCCCTTTCTGGCTATGGCTGGCTCTGAGTTTGTGGAGGTCATTGGAGGTAATTCTTACGGCGGTTCATGGCAACCTTATCAGAAGGCTAATTTCTCATGACTCATTAGATGTGGGTATGTTACAGTTGTGATCTGACTTATATTGCATTTTTGTGTGTAGGCCTGGGTGCCGCTAGGGTCAGGAGTCTGTTCAAGGAGGCTCGTGCCCGAGCGCCCTGCATCGTCTACATCGACGAGATCGACGCTGTAGGAAAGAAGCGCTCGACCAACATGTCCGGTTTCTCCAACACTGAGGAGGAGCAGACTCTCAACCAGCTGCTGGTCGAGATGGATGGTGAGAGAACCTGGGACTTCAGAGCAGATTGTTTTCATCAGAGGCAGAACAATGAAACACTGAACTCTTCTCTTACAGGAATGGGAACGACAGACCATGTCATCGTCCTCGCTTCCACCAACAGAGCAGATATCTTGGACAATGCTCTCATGAGACCAGGCAGATTGGACAGGCACATCTTCATCGACCTGCCGACACTGCAGGTAGACGTCTAGCCTCACTTTCACCACAATTTAAAAAGTGATGTAGTTACCGTACTACATTTACTTGGATCTTTTTGACTCAAAACAGCATATTCAGTTTTTAGTTAATGCACCTTTCTCTTTCAAAGTGCTGGTGATGTGGTTGCATAACAAACATATTTTATTAATATTATTATATTTTAACAGCTGTATTTTACTAACCTTGTATGGAAGTTATGATTGCTATCATTGATAAATTAAGACGGGGATACACAACAGTTACTTCCTATAAATACCTGTAAAGAAAAGCCCCAGTTTATGAAACAGAAAAAATACCTTTTAAGTAGGGCCACAGTTTGAAACTGAAGTCCTGCATACACTACTTGTGTCCATTTTACTTTTGGGACTTTCCAGTGTGAAATATTGTCAAATTTAATTTTAGCTAGCTCTGTCTCATGCTCCAGTACTGGAAATCACTTCTTCTTCACAGCTCTAGAAACAGTATTTGCCTGTGACAGTACAACGCAACTGCTGTTTTGGAGAAGAAGTGAAGAAAATAGAAGTTTCATCTGGGTGATTATTTATAAACTCAAAGGACGGTGCATCGATTTGTACTCGTCGATGCTTGTCCTGGCCTTTTCTGCAGTGTCAGAGGTATTTTCGATGCTGGTATCTGTAGCGGAGCATCTCTACCTCACGTGTGTTTATCATCTCCACCCTTGTGTGTTTATTTAGTGTTGACAAATCTCTGTATCTGTTAAATGAAACTAGAATTTATTTCACAATCTCAGATGTGATCCCGACAAACGAAACCTTCCATTCTGTGTAACTACTCCTTTCCTACACATTCGTTTTTGATGAGGCTGTTCCATTGTAGATTCTCAAGTACAATGTATGAACATATTATACTGGGACAAATGATGCATGTGAATTTTGTGGGAGATTTACACAGTGTGTGTCACCTAAATCTACTTTGTTTCATTTCTATTGTTGTCTCTCAGGAGAGGAAGGAGATCTACGAGCAGCATCTGAAGATCCTGAAGCTGACCCAGCCATCTAATGTCTACTCACTGCGTCTGGCTGAGCTTACTCCAGGCTTCAGTGGTACGCATATTTACTGTTCTGTCCTCATGTAAAGTGATGAACATCTGTGGCCATAATAAAACAATGGCCCGCACCCCCGATGTACATATACTCTCCAACTAATATGAAAAATCTCTGTTCCCGAAATCACTGTTTCTCTGCAGGTGCAGACATTGCTAACATTTGTAACGAAGCCGCTCTGCATGCTGCCAGAGAGGGACACAAGTCCATCGATACCTTCAACTTTGAGTATGCAGTGGAAAGAGTCATAGCAGGTACCATATTATAGGCAGCACACCAACACATACGTCTCACATATGTCTCACTCGCTACTCTGGAATCTGATATATACCTCTCTGTGTGTGTGTGTGTGTGTGTGTGTGTGTGTGTGTGTGTGTGTGTGTGTGTGTGTGTGTGTGTGTGTGTGTGTGTGTGTGTGTGTGTGTGNTGTGTGTGTGTGTGTGTGTGTGTGTACGTGTGTGTACGTGTGTGTGTCCTCAGGAAGCGTAAAGAAGAGTAAGATCCTGTGTAAAGAGGAGCAGAGAGTGGTTGCCTTCCATGAGTCTGGACATGCCCTAGTGGGATGGTTACTTGAGCACACAGAGGCAGTCATGAAGGTAACGTCTGCTGCTTGATGTGGGGTCGGCTTTTATTTCAAATGCAGGACCTGGGTAAATACACCCTTTAACATAAAAAAAAGTTGAACAGTGTTGTGTTAATGTTTTTGCAATTTATAAAGCTGCAGCAATTGTGTAATATGTTAAAGTTGACACATGCACACACAGACTGATAAGGTGAAAACAATAGCAGCAACCCTGGCTGATAAAATGTAAGCAAATATGCATAGATTCAGAGAAAGGCCTTGAAGACAATAACAGTTACTGATGGTGATGTGTTCTCCAGGTGTCCATTGCTCCACGGACTAATGCAGCCCTGGGATTTGCTCAGATCTTGCCCCGTGACCAGTATCTGTTCACCAAGGAGCAGCTGTTTGAGCGGATGTGTATGGCTCTGGGAGGAAGAGCAGCAGAAGCTATCACCTTTAACAAAGTTACAACAGGTACATCTCCCACAGCCTGTTCACGTGCATATCACCTTCTGATAAACGCTGCTCACTTATCCTGCTGGTTGTTTCCAAGTAACTTCTTCATCTTTCTACTCTTTAAATTCCAAACCCCTCTAAATTTTAAAATCACCAAATCTTTTTTTTTTTAAATGTTCCTAACATGAAATCGTATTTTTATTCTTGCTACAAGAGTTAAAAAAGATATATTGTTGAATACATCCGACTACACAGCCAATACTCTCCATTTCTGTGTGGTTTATCTTTTATTTTTACTTAAAGTGAAAATCTGTGATTTAAATATCCCCGCTGTGTGTTCCCAGGAGCTCAGGATGATTTGCGTAAGGTGACACGTGTGGCCTACTCCATGGTGAAGCAGTACGGCATGTGTGACAGCGTCGGACAGGTCTCATTCCCAGAGACAGAGGCGCAAGGTGCCATTGGACGTCGTCCTTTCAGCCAGGGCCTGCAGCAGCAGATGGACCTCGTGAGTTTTCTAAAATTGGATTAGTTCTCTGTTCTTAAATTAGCACACTGTGTAAGTCGACATAATCAGTTATGTTTATCACCTTAAAATCCTTGAAACTTTGATCTAGTTCACAATGAATGTAATTTCATGTTGTCAGAAACTTAAAATTTGAACTTGTTCTTGTTTCAGGAGGCCAAGCTGTTGATAGCTCGTGCTTACAGACAAACAGAGAAGCTGCTACAGGACAACAACGACAAACTGACACTGGTCAGATTTTCCTCCTTTTTTTGTCTTAACCGTTCTGTGTTATTCTCTGTTGTTTAGTGAGAAGTTACAGTAAGACCCAGTTCAGACCTGCTATTAACTTTTATCCAAAGTGATCTGACCGAAGTGGTCAACCCTAAGTATGTTTCCTCTGAACCACGGTATTGAGATCTGATCACAAGTGGTCACAGAAGAACTAAGCACTGTCCACTCGTGATCGGATCAGGGGCCTAAATCACACCCAGTCTGTTTCTGTCTCTCCAGTTGGCCAATGCCCTGTTGGAGCGCGAGGTGGTGAACTACGATGACATTGAAGCTTTGCTCGGCTCACCCCCTCACGGGCCCAAGAAGATGATCATCCCTCAGAGCTGGGTGGAAGCTGAGAGGGACAAACAAGACATAGGAGAGGACGACCCTCAACCACCTCAGAAAAACAGAGAAGACGACATGAATACACAGCTAGTCTGATCTTAAAATACAAACTACTGCATTTGTTTGGGGGGCAGGGGCTCATCAGGGGCTCATCAGGGGCTCATCAGGGGCTCATCAGCGGTTCCCTCAGTCTGAAGCTTTAGGTGAAATCATCATAGTTTCTTAGAACTCCATGCAGACGTTTGTCCAAATGAACATTTGCACTTATTTTCCAGTGTACGGAGCCATTGAGATGAAATGTGCAGCCAGTGCAGAATGATTATTTTCGGAGGAAGTCCATTATTCTTAGTCGTGTGCTGCAGAGCCATATTATTATTATACCCTGGAAGCAATAAAAACAAGTCTATTCAAACAGGATGTCTCTGACTCGCTTAAAGCGCAGACGGAAAAAGCTTCTTATCAGCATTTTACTTTGTGTGTAATCAACAATTAAATGCTTTGTCTTTGGATTCCACAAAACTGTGTTTATACCTGAAACAGATGTGGGATCATTTGATGCAGACACACTGTAGCACACACAGGTTTGGATTCAAGTTGCACACTGAAGAAAAGGTTGACAAAGGGAGATTTCTTTTGTTAGAGATGCCACATGCAACAAAAATATCTGGATTTATCTACACAAACACATCAAGGTCTGCATCACTGTGTTTGGTATTCACATGAGTAAATTGCTGTGGAGATTTTAGAGTGTACTAAATAAAACAAGTGTGGTAAAGGACAAATTAAACTGCTTTCCATCGACAGAGGAAACTTTTCTATGTTGCACATTTTGAAATAGGTTAAGAGTTGAAATTCAAAAGACTCTGTCATGTTGGTGATTCGGCAGCAGATACAGACTGAATCAACAGATGGAATAAAAACAATATCTGTGTTAGGATTGTGTTGCTAAAAATTTAAATGAATAAATATTTAAATTCTTCTTGTTCTTGCAGCATTTCATTTCATTGTTAACATTTATGTAGTATGAGTAACCCTGCAGCGTGTTTCATTATGAACATTATAAGAAGTAGACACTAAATAAAAGAATTACATTTATTCTGAAGAAACCAGTATAATCTAACATTAAAAAACATCATTCAAATGTTTTACCTCCAAACAGTTTGATTACAGAACATAGTGTGATAGTGTTTTCTTCAGTCATGTTTTGTTGGCTTTTTGAAAAGATTTAAACAGATGCTGGAATGGAGGATTTATGAACAGAAAAACAAACACAATCAATATCAAAGCAAAACATGTTATAAAATAATCACTGATATAAAAAAGAAATACATTTAAAAGATTTGTTTTATATTTCAGGTTTGTTGTATGCATCATTACCGAGTAATCCTTGTCTGAAGATAAACCCCACCAGACATGGACTCACATTTCAACACACACTCTGTTTGCCCTGTAACATGCACAGCTCCTGTCTTTGTGACCACGTCAACACTTGATTTTACATTCTCATTGACTTTTCCTGAGCTCACCTCAAAACACTGGCACGAGCCATGTTGACACTTGTGTCCGAATGATCCTCAACATAAGGCACATTAGATTAAAGCCCCACGGTTTATACATCACATTCATTTTCCCCTGGTGCACTTCAATTCTCGTCCTGGACAAAAAACACTCATCAAACGTGTCTCGAAAAAAACGCCCGCAGCAGGATCTGTGTCTCTGTCTACTCGTGATGCTTCTCTCCGTGGGGTGTCACTGTCCAACTTAACGTGGGTCATACATGTTGGCCAGTTTCTGAAAGCGTGGTCCCCAGTTGTTGAGGTAGTCGTAGTCTTGGTCTCCGTCAGAGCTGCCTGAAGCGATGGAGCTGAGGCTGCCTGCCAGGGATCCCTCTCCCTCATAGTCGTAGATCAGAGCTGTGTCATATGGAGGCACGTTAGGATCATTGTCTGCTGCCTCAAGGCCCTGAGGAAAAAAAGGAAGTGATCAGTGACAGTGATAGTGACTTCCTGTCTTTCCTCTTTTGTGTGACATTAGATTCTGATTTGGGCCTGTTGTGAATTTTCTGGGTGAAGTCTCTCACGTCATTGATGTAATCCTCGATGTCAGTGGGATCTGCAGGAGGTCTCCTTGGGTAGGTGGGTGAGGGCAGGTTATGTGGGGCGTCCTTCCTGAGGGGCTGCTTGCATCGAGGAACACGAGGCATTGGGCAGTAGGACCCCGGGGTTGAAGGTGCATCATGGGGATTCCACAGCATGTCGATGTTAAAGGCGTTCTGCAAGATAAGATGAACAGTTTGGCGACGTGTACCTTTATGATAAGGAATGATGCACAAAAACAAACAAAACAAATCCACAATAACTTAATCTATTGGTGACACACAGACACCATTGTTTAAAATCAAATACAAATAAAACATGTGACATCTCACCTCGTCCTCCTCACCCCCTCCCTGCTCGTCGTAGTTGATGACATTGTCACGGATGTCATCCTCCGATTCCCCGACAAGCAGACCCGCTCCTTTCTTGATGTGGTGGCGTCTCCCGCAGGTGGTCACTGCCACAGCCAGGAGGAGCAGCACTGCAGTCCAACACAGGGAAAACAGTGACCATTCATTCATTACAGATCTGTAGCCAACATTTTTATTGTCATATTGTATTATTTTGAATTTTAAAGTCGTCATGTCTTTAGATGTCTTGTTGTCCGCACAAAGATTTGAAAACAACAACTTAAAGCCTGACAGCCATGTGGAAGAGGACTTACACAGTAGGAGTGCAACACAGGCCATGATGATAATGAGAGCGATGAAGTTGATTCCCACACTGGAGCCTAAGACAGCCCCGGTCTCAGACTTACAGTCCCCGAAGGAGTCGCAGAGACACACGGTGATGTTAACCTGAGCGTAGGCGCTAAGAGTCGGGCTGCCAGAGTCTGACACCAGCACTGTGACTGCATACTCTCCTGCCTCCAGCGCCACCAGGGGCTGAAGCACTGCATGAGTATCTGAAGTGGGAAGGAACATGGACAGAGGGATAACATGAGGATGGTTTGACATCAGGAGGAGAGTAAACATCCTTTATACAAATCCACATTACTCCCTCTACCATCACCCTCACTGTTTCCTCACCATTAACTTGCACAACAGTCCAGTTCACTGACAGATAATCAGACATTTCAAAGGTGAAGGGTGCAGTGTGCGGAGGAAGATCCTCATCCACCGCCGTCACTATCAGACCAGAATGTGTCCGGTGTGCACCCCTGCACACAGAGCCGCTCAGAGGGAAGAGCTGAGGGGGGAAGTCATTGGTCTCCTTCAGTGTGATGACGACTGTGGCTGTGGTCGACACACCACCACCATCTACAGGGACGAACATTAATACACAGCGATGAGCGTACTGTTCTTATTATCAACGTCCAGCTAAAACATACCACAACAATCTATTGTTTGCTAATCGCTCTTAAAATGCAAAAACCAGCAGATGACATTTTGTGCTAAGACATTATTTCCTCACAAAGCAGGTGAAAACCAAACTCATGTTTTTAACTTAAATCAACTTGCAAGACTGTTTTAAAACCAGATATGTTGATTCAAACTGTTGCAACTCTCAAGCGTCCTATTAATAAATACATATATATATATATATATATATATATATATATATATATATATATACAATGCTAGAGGAACAGGGTCATGATAAGAGGATGAACTGACCTGTCACCTTCACCACAGCAGTGTAGATTTGGTTCTTAACATTTGGAGATCGCATGTTGAAGGTTCTCTTGGCTCTAATATCTCCTGTATCTCTGTCGATGTCCAGCCATTTCTCTGGATCTCTGATGATCTCATATCTACCACACAGAACGAGGAGGATTATTCTTTAATTTAGTGACAGTTTTAAAAACAGGATATCGTCCCTATGTGTTGCTGCTGTATCTTCATACCTCAGCTCAGAATTATCCGGGTCAGAGGCGATGTTGCTCTTCAGGAGTGTCCCAGGAACCACAGACTCAGGGACCACGATCTGTATCGGGTCCTCCCTGAAATGTGGAGCTTCGTTCTCATTCACAACACTGACCACCACCATAGCAGAGCTCGCTGGGAGGTTGGGAGCCTTGTTACTCAGACTGTTGACATTTTCCACCGTTAACCTCAGCACATACTCACTATGTGCTTCAAAATCCAGAGGCTGCAACACAGGAGAGGACACAGCTTTTAAATGAAGGAAAACATAAGAAAGAAATCATAAACATTCATAGCAAAGACTTACATTTCAGTCATTTCTAACTAATTAACCATCACACATGCAGGAAAAGCCAAATTATAATCTTTTCTATGAGGAACCTCTAGTTCCAGACCTAACCACCAGGTGGTGCTGTTGAGTTGAGCTGTGTCTGTGGACCTCATTCTGAAAACCTCACAACAACACATACATGAGTCATTTGTCTTTGTCAGAGTAACTTTGGATACTTGACATGAATCCACATGTTTGATCACACTGAGACTTATGGGATGTCTCAATTAGAGCCCGACTGATGTGGAGTGAAATAATTCCTGAAACTGATCTATCAGCTGAAATCTGTATGTTACAAATGATTGGCAATGATTCCTGAGATGTTATCAAACCCTTATGACAATGAAATGTAATTGAGTCTTGATATTTCTACAGTTTAATCATACACTTGATAATAAGTAACTATAAACAAAGAGAAAAAAATGAATATATAAAAACATATTCAGAAACATAAATGCTGATAGGATATATCTGTAGAAAGTTAATATTAATGTAAATCAGTCTGGCTCTATAGTCTCAATGTATGAAGGATACCTAACAATGATCATGACCCCTCCCTCACACTCTCCTCCGGCCAACTGTACCTTCACCACTGACACGATGCCCTGGTTGGTGACTGTGTCTGTAGCGATGGCGAAGTTTCCATCAGGATCATTGGAAATGAAATATGTGGCCTCCCAGTTTCCTGTTCCCCGATCGTCTCTGTCCGTCGCGTTCACCCGGCCGATCTCATAGTCCTGCTTGTTCTCCACTGCAGTCATACTGTACTGCATGCACACGGAACAGGTCGAAGCATTGAAATCATTGTGACCCAACGTATCTCATAACAAATGAAGGAAATTAACATGTAATATCTAATTATGTGATTTAATATGGAAAACAACAGAAAACCATGTATGGTTGTGTGAGACTCACCGAGACAGGGCTAAACTGTGGAGCATGGTTGTTGATGTCAGATACATGTATGACTGCCAGACCTTCGCCTGTTAGTCCCATGCCCCCCATGTCACCAACCTGCAGTCTTAATCTGAAACTTTTCACCACCTGAAACAGAATTCAGCACATTTTTATGAAATGAACAATTTAAGGTTGTGAGAAAATCTTAACGTTGACCTGCATTTTACCTCTCTGTCGAGGCCGACGTCTCTCGTGTATATGGCTCCTGTCTGGTTGTTGATACCAAACATGGTCTTGTTGATGGCGTTGGCAGGAACACTCTCCTGGCTGATGATGGAGTAGCTCAGAAAGGCGTTTTCTGTCATTGGGTCGTCGACATCAGTGGCTGAAACTGTCATCACTGATGTGCCTATGAGAAATAATAGTAATGTGATGGGAGAGCTGAGGCTGCAGGACTTCACTAATGTTTTCACTTAAACCTCCTATTCCTAAAATGGGGGGGGATCTTTCAATTTAAACAATAATAAAATCTGCTTTGATGGCAGCGTGATCAGCAGGGGATCAATGATTCTTCACCACCATTACCAATGAAAATCTACCTGATGTTCATGGATGAGGTCATGTATTAAAGTTTTATTCACATTATGCAGCAAAGTGATAAATGTTATATCTTTCAAATGTGGATTGTGTGAAGCAGCCGGGGTACACAGGACAAGCAAATTCCGGATTCAAACCAGAATGCTACTCAGGCTACTTCAAGAAGGAGATGTAACCTGGGATCTTTAGGAAACTGTGTTTAAGATGAGAAAATGAAAGGTTAGTAATGTAAAATATAACACACGGACGTACCTGGGACAGAGAACTCAGAGACAGCACCGACAAACTGGCTCTGGGTGAAAGCGGGTCTGTTGTCGTTCTGATCCAGCACCACTATCTCTATGGTGGTGGGATTCTCTAGTCTCTCTCCACTGGGCGACAGCGCAAATGCTTTCAGCTACAGGAACACAAAACACACACTCTTAATTTATTTGACTTTTGATGTAATGATAATAACAAAGCTCCACAACTTATTTGAATGTTGGCTCAAGTTAAACGTTAATTAACACCAATCAAGCATTCCATAAGGGAAATATTTGACAATCTGCAGGTATCTATAATCCATGTACACAACATATGCTGGGTAAATGTGCAGGATGTTTGCCTGGACATCATGAGTATACATCACGAGTCATCTGGTGTGAAACATCCTGAAGTTGCTCCCTAGTTGCCCATTAAGGCCCTTGGAAACTGACCTCTGTCTGTTTGTGCTGGTGTCTGAAGCAGATCTACACTTTGAGACGAAAACACGGACCCTCACTTTGAAACACATGGCCGGTGTCTCTCTGAGCTTTGTGGCTTGTGTTAAGTGCCTCTGTTTGATTGGGCTTTAAAACACATTTCAAGAGTCTGGATGATTTAAAGTTGCCAAACCAATAAATGCTCTCTTACTGTGAAGCTCCTGTATTTCTCTCGGTCCAGCGGCCGCTTGCTCCTGATCACTCCCGTTTTATCGTCGATCTCAAACAGATTCTTGGGCTCCTGGTCCACCCCCGGTCCTTCCAACTTGTAGATCACCTCACCTGTAAAGATTTTGTCCGATTTGATCTGGACAGAGGAAGGAGATACGATTGTTACAACCTCAGGGGAAGGTGGAAGGAGCGTGGGGGGTTGTAAACCATATGTCGTAACACCAGATGTGAGGATGTTGACGGGGACCTTGAGACAGGAGTGTTTAAACTCAGAGAGGTCTGTGACTTACAGCAGGAAATGAGATTCTGAAGTAATAGTAGCAGGGAGTCCATATTTCATGTATTTTGTAGTCACTGCTTTTGACATATTGTCTTTACAGCAAAGTCATCACTTCATAAAAGTGCCTCAATATTTGTTCCTGTACAAGAGGATTTATATATTACTGGTCGTCTGTAACACCATCAACATTTACCTTACACGCGTCTTTGAAAAACTGGTGCAGTGTGTGATCATTTAAAATCAACGGTGCATGGCTACACAGCAGTGCGTTTAACTGGAGTCACTCATCAGCTCATTCAGACAAATGCATAATAAAGAATAAAAACACCAGATTCTTCCTTAATCACAGTCTAATTTTAATGATAGTTTAAGTATCACTGTTACTCATATTGTATACACATATATCTGCACGTTAGCAACTGCTGTGAAACATTAGAAGCTAAATGTCACTAAAACTAAAGTAAAGCTGCTTTCAGACATGTACTGACAAACATTTTTCCAGATGGGCTGCATATGAGAATGCAAATGTCCGTGTCCATTGCTCTGGACACTTTCCAGAACTTCTCCTGTCAGCCCCCTGTTAAAATGTCAGGGTGTTTTTTCTTGTTGTTACAAGTGAATGAAAATGTGAATGATTTACATAGAATACTTTATTAGCTTGCTGAGCAGCCAAACACGATATGTTACATGATATCAGAGTCAGATTTTTTCATTTTTGTCATCCATGTACTTTGCAATACTACAACAGACCACCTCTATATCTATTATACTGTAAGAACAATGTACTATATGAATCAACTGTTAATGTTTAAGGTGCTGTTAGGCGACATGTAGCTTTAGCCTCAGTCTTTTCTCCAAGATTTCTGATTTCACAGCAGGAGAAAACTTTCTTTTGAAAGTCACAGAACTATTGTGTTGAAGCTTTCAAAATAATGTGAGAGGTAAATTGAAAACTGTGCATGAGCCATGTGAACAGGTTGATCATGCTCTTTACCTGGAGGGTGTTTCTGTGTGAGGACTGTGCACCACATCCGGACAAATATGTTTCATCAGACATCTGACTCGTGCTTTTCAACAGACTTTATTGTGAACCTTTAGTTTAAGTACTTTTGACACCAGAGATCTGCATTTATCTTTCATGATGTTATATATTGAAGCTTTTACCTGGACAAGGTTTTCAGGAACCTGCTTGCTGTTCTCCAACACTCTGATTGGAGGGATGATCCAGTCTCTCCTCACCCGGATCAATCCCCTTCCTTGATTTCTCCAGGGATAAAGAGCCTGAGGATGAAGCTCTTCCTCATTTTGATGATGTTCTGTAGAGCTCCATGCCTGACGGTCACAGGAACATGCAGTTAATTCAGAGTTAACCTCCATTACATCAAACATAGACATATAATATGTGGATAAGTCAATTGAAGTTTTTGTTTCCAGTCTTCCTCCTTCAGGGAACGACACAAATAACGTCATTATAGTTATATGCAGCTGTTAAAATCAATATCCTAAGTATCCCTCAGTGCTATTTACTCTCACAGGCCTGATGGAATTTGTGTATGTTAGCTGTAGCGGGGATTGTTCAGGGCAGAAGGTCTGAGGGGCCACGGCTTCAGGTTTCACTCACTAATACACGTCTTTGTCAGCTCCCTTTGAACTGAGCGCAGATTCATCTCAGGACGAGGAAACGCAAACACTCACGCTCATTTCACAAGCCCTCCTCCTCCAACACACTGCTGTCCCCACCATGTTCACACAAATACACCCACACATGAGAAACACACTCACGCTACAGCTGTCGACTGTGGATTTAGACCCTGTGCTTTCCCACCCGCATTCCCACTCACACACACAAATTCCCCCTTTATGCTTAGCTCTGCACCTGACTGGGAGTTTGGGGTCACCTTACGGATCTGCTCTGCTGCAGGATTCCACACCCACACACCCACACATCCACACACACACACACACACACACACATCCACACACACCCACACACTGATATACAGTACATGCACGTGCATCAACAAAACACCATCCCACGCTCATGTCCAACATTACACTTCCGTGAGCTGCTTCCTCTGTGGGAATTCACTGGACTCAGCATTACGTCCCATATGTTTAACAGCTCAAAGTCACAGTCCAATGAGACCAGACATAAACTAAGATATAACTGAACATGAACTCACTAAAACAGTGGATACAATTGTGAATATTTTCTAAATGGCCTGTGATCCCTCGTTTCAGGGGTGGGTGGGCTAATATTCCGATCCTCTGGCACGCTGCTGGACAGTACAGCGGGGAATGGCAACCATGGCGGGCATCTGCCGGCCAAGTCAGGGGGCAGGCTAATCTTAGACTGTTCTATATTCTCGGCCCGTACCTATTTAACTTTTCGAAGCCGTCCTCATCTACACATCCACAGAGATGTTTACAGTCGCATTCCAGCAGTGCCTGTCACCCACACAAATTCATCCTGATAGATATCCACTTCCATGTTTAAGCCTTCTCCATATACAAGCTCTCAAACCTCCTCCAGCGTAGCACATGCTGTGTATAGATATTTAACCTCAAAATCAATAACAGCTGCATCACAGTTGTTTGCCAAATATAGTAGTTTCTCAGTTTGACTGATTTGTGAACCACCTCGTCTTTAAGAATGCCCACACAGCAAATTCATCATGAAGACACACAACGTCTCTGTAGTACATCCTGTTTTACTACCATAGAACATTTAGGATGAAAGTTTGACATGATAACGTCTACATGAGAATATACAAAGATGAATTTGATAAAAAAAACTACATTTAGTCTAAAATCCTGCTAGAATTTCATCATTAGTACTATAAATGATATGGTTGATAATGGTCGATGTTAGTTTTGACATTTGGTTAAATTCAAAGATTTTATCAGGATCTAAGGATGAATGTTGATTTGGCAAAAAGATGCGTGATATATATGCAAATGCAGAACATCTAGATCATTGTTAAAACCATCAGGTCCTGGAGATTTCATTTTAGAAAATAAGATGGTAGCTTTTTTAATTTGCTGGTCTAGGTCATATTTTTCTTCCTCTAATATGCATGGAGGAATAATGTTTTAGAATTACTGTTCTGATTCATTGAGACTTTCAAATTTTCATTAAATTTGGTGTGGATTCATTGTTGGATTGGAGTGGATTAATAACTAATTATACATGTTGGTCTATATCTTATCATTACATTTGGAACCTAATGATTTTTATTAACAACTCTTTAAATCTTAACGCTGCTTCTTATTCTTTAGGCTGCTTTATTCTCCTCTATAGCATTTTAAAGCTTCAGTGCACAAAAGTGCAACTAAAATATGAATAATTTCTCTTATTTTATTTTTATTTTCTTGATGACCAGCTGACAGACCAACATGCCGTGATTCAAACAATTCATCCATTAATGGTAAAAAACGAGAGCTTGCATGTGCTAAAGAATATTTTGAAAAAGTTGGAAACTGACTAATTCCTGTTTATTATCATTTACATTTCTCTTCTTAATTGATGTATTCAGTATGTGTAAATATTGCAGAATGTAAAAAGTAAATAGTATATCTGTTCGTACGTTATGTAACTGATCATCAATTACATGCAGCAAATGGAAATGTAAAACAATCTCAGACACCAGCACATGAATGCAATAAATCTGAAAATGTTTGGTCAATATAGAATTGTGGACTGAATTTAAAGTCTGCTGCTTGTTTTTAAGTTGAGCAAAAATGAAGACACAAACTTTAATGTGGAAATACTGAAGAAAACCACAACAAAAAGTCAGATAACACTTTTTTAACACCCTTTATCTCTGTCATGTCCTGTGTCTTCAGTCTGAACATGACACCGTGTTTGGAACAGTGGCTGCAAGTATCTGTTGTAATGTTTTTACCAGACCAAGATGAGGAAACTTGAATGGAAGTGTCACGTTACCAATTAGACCAACAAGTACCTCTTCTGACAGTCAAAGTGACGACACCACACACAGATCAACCATTTTAGAGGCTTTTCCCAGACACTAAAACAGCTTGACCTTTGACCTCAGGCCCTCACATAGGTATGGACAGCTTGTTTGGGGAAGATATGCCCTCACTACAGGAGTCATGAAGCACTCTGCTGCTGCTGAGGAGGAATGTTTGTTGAGTTCTGCTTGATTCCTCCTCCTTGATGCTGGATTCAAGAATTAAAGTGTACTTAGTATTCTATTGATTTTAAGTACAGATGTTCACTAGAAACCTATTTTGAATATGTCCTGTCTTTAGGAAAGGACTGGTAAATAGAAATGGGACTATCAAAATTCAGTTTTGAATTTATCATCATCTCTGTATGTTTTCCACTCCTGTCCATTTGTTTTTTTTTATTTGTAAGTAAAATTACACAAAAACGAGCAGAAGGATTACCGTGAAACCTGTTGGAAGGTTGTGTGATGGGTAAAGAAATTAACCATTAAAGTTTGTTGTGTATTCAGATCAGATCATTTCTTTAATTTCTTTAACATCGCATTGATTTGTCAGAGAATAATTTACTGATCATGATGTCAGTCATTTTTAGTGGACTGATATTTATTATTATTTGATGCGGAATCAGATAAAAATAAGATCTAATGAATTTAGATGTGGTTTCATTAGGGGACTGTTGGCCAAGGTATATGCTGTCTCCTGTTTCTTGCATTGTGCCTTAAGGACACATTAATGAGCATTTACAATCGGCCTTCCCAGCATGCCTCAGAACCACCCTGATTTCAGATTGTTTGGCACAGGCTTAAAGCATTGGTAGCCTACAGGAAGTGGGGAATGTTTACGCCACACAAATGAGACTGAATGTGAAAGAAAGAAATGTAACTGGGAAAACCACAATTCCTGTGATGTTTTTAATAACTGACAGATTTTTCAAAAATCCCTCATTGTAACATTTGAGTAAGTAAAAAAGCACCTCCGCCCAGAGACAGCCCACTCTAACTGTGTATGAATCTTTGTTTCTATCTTTATCTCAATCAGAGTGTCTCCTCTCCAGACTTGTGTGAGAGGAACAGTCATGCAAATAACTCAGGAACAACTCACTGCTCAGCCTGAGAAGCAACGTCTAGCACGTCTGACACCTCCTTCAGCCGCAGGCCAAGAGGTCGCACAGGTGCCTCCCTGGTCACTTCTGTTACTGGACGTTCAACCACAGTCACCATAAACCACCCTGGTCCCACACCCCACTCTTTGCTCAGTCATGACTGCCCAGCATCGGTATGGACACCCTATTTATGGTGCCACTACCAGTGTGTGTCCTCTTTGGAGCAGATGTCTGATCTGTAGGAATGCTGAGCAAGGTTATAACATTCAAGTAAGTCTAAAGGGAGGACTCAATAGAGGGAGAAATGTGGAGGCACGGAAAAAATGTACATGGAAATTATTTGACAAGTGGTGGATTAAAGATACTTAAAGGTTCAGTGTGTAGAATTTAGTGACATCTAGAGGTGAAGTTGCATGTTGCAGCTGAAGGTTTGTCTGGTTTGGACGACATGGCAGCCTCCACAGAGAGGACCCCCCCCCCCCCATGTAAATATAAAGTTGTTAAATATAAAGGGCCCATTCTACGGTAAAGAAAACAACAATTCATACAATTTAGATGAAACAAACTAGTGAAAACAATCCTTTAATAATAAAGATCTAATCAAAAACCTTTGTTTCTAGTGATTTTAAATGTGGTTCCATGAGGAGACTGTTGGGCCTTGGCTGAGGAATCCCCTCTACTGAGTGCCACTCAGTCTATTTACTGTGGTGCAAATCTGATTTGGAAAAAAAAAAAAGTACATCTTTGAAATATAAATTACTAATCCAATGACGGCTTTAAAGGGGCTGTAAAATGTTTATAAATGACTCCCTCATATTAAACAGCAGCATTACTAAATACAGCTGTTCAGCGAAGCGTCACGACGAACAGTGAAGCGTCTGGAACATACTGAACATCTGGAAACTCAGAAGCTTCATTTTTGGTGGTGAATTCCTTTGAAGAGTGAATTTACAACACTGATAGAGTCTGTTTACAGAATTTCAAGTCTGTATTTCCAAATCGCTAGATGCTAACTAACATTTGCTACAAGCTTATAAAAAAATTACACTAATAAAAGAAAGCAAAAGTTGTATTATTGCTCCAAACTACAGATTAGCCTACATATAATATGCATTTCCAGAGTTTAAGTTTAAAATGACATGGAAAACACATCTCCACTTCCTTTGTCAGAAAATAAAACTAAATAGACGTAATATGGAAATAAAGTCTGTGGGGTTGTGATCATGGAGCCACAGTTATTGTATCAAATTAATAATTTAAACAAAAGTCACCAGAGAAAACTGTATTGAACTTGACTTTTTTAGAGACGTATATGGTTTCATGTGCGGAATCACTACAGATATTACTCATATTTTCTTTGTATATTATTCTTCAAAAAGTAAAATGAACAGAAATATGCTATAAATTCTAATTAGTAAATAATCTGAATCAGATGAATTCAACCACCAGCAGCTGTCAGTGCAGTCCAAGTGAAAGCTCCCAGTGTCACCTGATAGCTTCCACTTGTGCGTCAGTTGCGCTCGATTCATTCTCAGGGAGCTGGTTTCGTTTTGAACCGGACGGCGCTCAGGCCTGTGGTGGTGGGTGTCTGTTGAGGTGAGGAGTGGGCTGCAGCCACAGCTGTTCCCAGATGCATACGTGATGCCATTTGTCCTGCTCTGTAATCCCCCTGGCGGAAAGAGGAGTGGGCCACTTCTGAACCATGAAATTGGGTACAAATCAAGAGACTGTAGCAGAGGCCAGCTGGCGCTAAGGTCTCACTCATCGGAAACAATCAGTCAGAGGATTTAGAGTCTGAATCAGTTGTCCTGCTGGGCGTGGATACCTGAGAGCTGTTTTACACTGACTAAGGTTTCAGGGGGAGCAAACGATAAAAAGACAACGTCCCGATCATAAAACTGGTTGACTGAGCAGTCAAGTCCATTTCCTCTGTTTTTCGGCCTCAATGTTTTTTACAGTCATCGACTCATCACTTCATAAGTTAATGGATTTATACATGAATGTAAAAATCGACTTTCTTTAATTAACGCAAACTAAATTGCACAAATCATCAGACCCCTTAATATGAGAGATTTGTCTTCATCAGGATCCATGAACTACAGGTTGTTGCCTTCAGATCATTCAGAAGTTACTTCTGGTGACTGAAATAAAATTATAACTAAAGTCCTGAGTACTTGAGCAGAAATATCTTTTGGGTAATGTCACAGGACGTCAGGGCCTCACTGTGACAAATTGGTTTTCCCCCTGGCTGTGTCAGTGATTTATGACTTCCATGGTCAAAATAGACAAAAAATATTTTCTCGGGCTTTAAGTCAGATAGTGGAATATGAAAATAAACCACAAAAGTAGCACACGGTTAAAATAAAGACTCCGAAGATTCTCAAAAATCTTCACACAAAAAAAGCTACACAGAATCTGCAACATTCACAATGGCTTAAATTATTTACTATGACGCTCCCCAAGAATCCCCCATGGCCCCGTCACTCACCCTCCCAACCTTGGCTGCATTACAACTCCAAACACAGAGAAAGACTGATGGTGCTTGGAAGTGCAGTTGGTAATACGTCAGTTTACATTGTCATCCATTTTGGAACTCATAATGGCGTCTGCTGACAGGGGCGACTAATGATGCCCGGAGCCCTCTGTACACATCTGGAGTCTCGTCCTCCTCAGGACGCTTCATCATCCTCGTTACAACTCGAGTGTTTATATCGGCCGCAACCTCTGATTGCAGAGCCGGTGCAGTGCCTCCATATTGATGAAAATAAGTTGATGTTTTGTTGAGGACATCACTCAGGTAAGAATATAAACGTTGTATCTGAGGAGCAGGGCCAGTGGGAGGTCACTCTGCAGCCAAGCTCGCACTCTGAAGGAGCAGGAAGTGAGAGGAGCCAAAAATTGGAAGTAGGTTAAATCTAGACCCATACAGCAGAGGAAGGGGTGGGGTGGGGACATTTTTAAACAATTCGGAAACACCACTCCTACAAGCTCCATTGCTCGGGCACCTGTCCCTTAAATTCTTTTCAAGTCTTTAACTCAAACGGGAAACAAGGACAAACGTACTTCAATGCTCAAATAAATCAACATGAGGTAAAGTCTGTTTCTTACCTGACTAAGCAGTGAACCCAGCAGACACACCATCATCATCTTCATCCCCATCCTCAGTACCTGCACTCAGAAACTCAGTATAAACAGACCACTGATGAATCAAAGATCTGAGGCTCCTCCAACTGGGACCTGAGCTCCTGAGTGGCTCCACTGGACAACAAGGCCAAACTCTCCAACCCTAAACCTTCTCCTTCTTTCTCTCTGTCCTCTTGCTCGCGCAGTCTCTCCCTCTGTCTCTCCCCCTTTCCCTCTCCCAGCGCCCGTCTCTCACAGCTCCTCCCTGTCCATAGCTGGGGTATGTCTCACAGTCGCGGGGTAGGGGGTTAGAATTTCAGCAGCGGCCCTCCCAAGTACCCCAGCACATGTGCTGTCACTCATGAACCCAGTGGAGGAGGGAGAGAGAGAGAGGGAGAGAGATGGAGAGAGAGGCAGGGCAGCTGTTGGTAGTGTGGATGGAGTCTGTCTCCACCTGATGAAAATGAGTGTGTGAGTAAACTTCAACACATTTCTGAGCAAAACATACGAAGCAGAAATGTGAAATCACCATTTCAGTAAAATATATTTTTAAAAAATGTGTTTTAAAATTCTCTTTTTAAATGTAGCTTGTTGAAAAGTGCTGAAAGGTGTTCTAAAGTCTTTGAGCTCTGGCAAACATAGAATAATGTGAAGTCAGAAGCAACGCTGGTCGTTTTCAGTGTTGGCACTGCACCATTCAGCAGCTGGGTCAAGTAGTTCAACCTTGGGAGCCTTTAACAAATAAGGGCTTGCATTTCAAATTACTTTAATAACATTTCTGCTGTTGGTGAAATAATGGACATCACAGTTTCTCAGGACAAATTGACATCTTTACATGTCTTGTGTTAGAGCAGTCGTCCTCCTACCAGAAGGTTGGCAGTTCTATCCCTATCTTCCCCAATCTGAATGCTGAAGCATCCTTGGGCAAGATAATGAACCACTTCTCATAGAGAGAGGTGTTGCACATAGATGCACTGTATGAATGTGTCTGTAAAAAAGATGAATGGAAATCTGTACTGTAAAGAACTTTGAGTAGTTATCAAGACGAGAAAAGTAAGATGTAAATACAAATCATTTACAATTTGTTTTTGTCTGATCAACAGCCCAAAACCCAGATTTACAAAACTAAAAAAGCAAAACATACCAATAGGTAAGTCACTATTTATATTAGTATGTCTCATTTTTGAGAATTTCTCAGTATTTTGAGATACTGAGTTATTATTTTGTAAAATGTTTTCATTTTAATGATGAAGTGGTGGAAATTAGTTTCCATAAAAAACAGCTAATGACGTCAATTCTAAAACTAAATAGGCACGAAAATCAATTCAACAGTTTGATTTCTTTGTAGGTCCTCTAAGATCAACATGATAACAAAGAAATAGAAATAAAACATGTTTGTGTATTTTACAGACCCCACTCGACAACACAATTTACTGTTCTGTCAAAGTCCTCAGAGGGTTAGAAGAGGATTTCTTTTCGAATCCATCTTCTTCAGATGACTCTTGATGTCGTGAGGTCGGATGTGCGACCTCCCTGTGCCGTGTGGTGTGAGTTGCACCCTCACATATTCAGAACATTCACACACAACCCTTTGATCGCCTGCTATTTTGGACTCTCTGTCAAAGCAGAAGATGAAGATCTATGGTGCTCTATGAGTGATGTCAAAATACAGACTGCCATGACTGTGATGCTTGAAATGTGACTAAACGTTGCCATGACCCATCAGGTACAAGCGAGGAATGCCTGCGTACAAGTGTTTTGCTGCTTGTCCGCCTCAGAGGGAAAAAGTTGAGAAGGTTGGTTTGTTTTGAAGGACAGACGCCCTCAAGGGAGAGAAAACCTGCAGGAAGATGTGTTTGGCATTATGGGACCATTAGACGTGCAGAGTCCAGGTCTCCTCCACGCTACTCATCAACACCCTCTCAGCAAGTCTGCTCACAGGTCAACGGTCGATACGGATCTTTAGAACGTAAACAAAGTCGGGCCACATTGGCTCCTCGTTTACCGCAGACACTGCTCTGCTCACAGGTCAGACAACAAATTCTACTGAAAAGCTGAAGTGAAGACTCGCTCCGGCAGAAAATGGTGACACACAAATGAAGATCACGGCTGAGTTATGAATGTACAGTTAGAGAAGAGAGACTGTTGATATTACAGTAGAGAGACTGGCGCTAGAAAGCAGAGCAGCGAGAATGTGTTGGCAGACTGGCCCTGCATGCTGAGTGGGTGTCCGCATGCTTCCATGTGTGTTCATGAATGTGTGTGTGTCTGGTATAAAGGGGCGATTTGACAGCACCTGTCTCTGTCATTCTAGGATGGGGCAGTTGGCAGGAGCCACACTGATGAGACACACACACACACACACACACACACACAC